AAATGGGAATATCTTTCCTTTTCTCCTTTGCTTTTTGCTTCTCTTCTTTTCACAGCTATTTGTAAGGCCTCCTCAGACAGCCATTTTTCTTTTTTGCATTTCTTTTCCATGGGGATGGTCTTGATTCCTGTGTCCTCTACAATGTCACGAAGCTCCATCCATAGTTCATCACACACTCTGTCTATCAGATCTAGTCCCTTAAATCTGTTTCTCACTTCCACTCTATAGTCATAAGGATTACTGACCAGTTAATTATGCCACCTTAAAAATCTACTGGACTGGGAAGCTAACTTACAAAGCTGACGTACTAATTCTTGGTCCACACTGGACTCCTGCACCCCGTGTTTTATCCAGTAGTCACTGGACCCTGATAGCCTGGCTTAGTACATTCAGCCCTTGTTAGTTCCAGATTGCATATTTGCAAAATCTGCCTACTCACTAAATTCATTTGCAACCTCTAAGTCAGTACAGTGCTTTCCTGTTCATTCATGTATGGCATAAGGAGGCAATCTGAGTTGGCCCAACTGCATGTTTCCAGCTGAGGTTGAACAAAGGACATTCTTTTAGTTTTGGGTCTCATAGTGTAAGCATGTCCATTTTTCAGTCCATTTAGTGTTATGTATCTTGCATTTTTGTTCCTTTTGTTGACTGTTTATCCATTTAAAATGGCCTCAAGTGTAGTGCCAACTTGTTATTAAGTGTTTCTAAGTGTAGGGGGTTGTTGATATCCATGATGGAGAAAATGTTGTGTTAGATAAGCCTCATTCAGACATGAGTCATAGTGCTGATGGCTGAGACTTCAGTGTTAATAAATCAACAGTCTACATATTAAACAAGTCATCTTTAAAGAGAAATATATATAAACCAAGGTTATATATTGATCAGTTAATTAAAATATGTGACCAGAGAATGGTAGGAATACAACCTTGTGTTTCCTCTACAACAGCAGTTCCAGATTCTCTTAATTCAGTGTTCCTGGAAAACTTACAGAACATAACCAGTTTAGATAATGAGAGCTAACTATATTTATGCTAAAAGCTAAGATTTTGATGTCACTTTAGTGGGGTTTTTTTTTTGTTTTGTTTTGTTTTGTTTTTGCTCAGGCTTTGTGGCATGTGGTATCCTAGTTCCCAGACCAGGGATCAAACCTGTGCCCCCTGCATTTGGAATATGGTGTCTTAACCACTGGACCACCAGGGAAGTCCCAGTCTGGTTTTAATCTTTAAATATTTTCTCATTTTCAAATCGTGCTCTTCCTCTTTAGGACTGCTGCAATACTTGCCTACTCAAGGTACAGATATCCCTCTCAATCTACTATTTTAATAATGTGGCATAATAGGATCTAGGACTGGATTGGGTGGTGAAGAAGTAATTCTGAAACAGAAGAAAGTCTTTGATTTTTGAGAAATACAAGCTTTCCAAAGAGGCAAGTATTTTATTAGATTGTATTTCAGCATCATAATAAATGTAGGTTCTCCCAGAGGATATTTTCAGTATCAATAGTCACTGAGGATTATTTTTAAAAAATAATTATTTAATGATCTTTTAATGAGTTAATGATTGAAAGATTGAGGTCAGGAGAAAGCAGCAACGGAGGATGAGATAGTTGGATGGCATCATCTTTTCAATGGACATGAGTTTGAGCAAACTCAGGGAGATGGTGTAAAACAGGAGAGCCTGGTGGACTGCAGTCCATGGGATCACAGAGTCAGACATGACTGAGCAACTGAACAGCAATTGTCACTGAGCATCATTTTAAAATAATAATTATTTAATGAATAGATTAAATTATAATTGAAATCTAGAATCTAGATAACAGTATCTTTTTTAAAAAAAAACTGCATTATTTTAAATAAAACTTTAATTCTTGGCCTTCTCGTGTCCTTTGTTTTAATGGCATGCATTCCATATCTTATTGTATGAAATCTAAAATCAGAACTGCCCAAAAAATTTTCAAGGGTTCTTTGTGTTTAGATTTTGTTACTGTTTTTGTGGTGATTCTTATTTCTATTCTTTTGTCCTCTTAAATTTATTTCCATGGTTTTCTTGACCAGTTCTATACTACCCAAGAACTCAGGTGTTTGATATTTTTAAAGAATTTTAAAGCAATGTAAAAGGTTTTCTTTTCTAAATTTATAAAACTGATGTTGCAAGTCGTGAATTTCAGCCCTGCTTCTGCAGTTGTTTAGCTCTTAGTTAAAGAAATCATTTAACTCTTTTGATGCGAAAACAGACCAAATGCTGGAAATCCAATGTGACTTATAAATTGCAGGGTTTGATGCCTCGTTCATTCGCTCAGTCTTGTCCAACTCTTTGCGATCCCATGGACTGCAGCACTCCAGGCTTCCCTGTCCATCACCATCTCCCCGAGCTTCCTCAAACTCATGTCCATTGAGTCAGTAATATCATCCAACCATCTAGTCCTCTGTCGTCCCTTTCTCTTGCCTTCAGTCTTTCCCAGTATCAGGGTCTTTTCTAATAAGTCAGCTCTTCCCATCAGGTGGCCAAAGTATTGGAGCTTCAGCTTCAGTTCTTCCATTGAATATTCAGAATTGTTTTCCTTTAGGATTGATTGGGTTGATCTCCTTGCAGTCCAAGGGACCTCAAGAGCCTCCTCCAACACCACAGTCAAAAGCATCAGTTCTTCAGCGCTCAGCCTTCCTTTATGGTCCAACTCTCACATCCATACATGACTACTGCAAAAACCATAGGTTTGACTGTAAGGATCTTCGTTGGCAAAGTAATGTCTCTGCTTTTTAATATGCCGTCTAGTTTTGTTATAGCATTTCTTCCAAGGATACCGAGGCATAGATTAATATTTTATTTCAGAGTAGTCAAATGCTTTTCTTCTCCGCTTTCCTCCCCTCCACTGAGCCTTAGTCTTACCTCCCCTTGCTTTAGTTTACCTGTCTCCTGGCCCATTGTCTCTGGGTTTACTAGTGGCTGATAGGGGATTAGAATCCTGTTCTTTCTCTTCTCAGCCTTAGAAACATGAGTTGATTTCCTCATAAAAGTTCTATTCAGCTTACCAAACCTCTTTGCAAGCCTTTATTATCAGACTGTGTGGTAGGTACCAAGGGTACAGAGATGAGATGAAACCATTCCTCTGACCTTAATCTCAATTTCTAATCTAATAAAAAAAGATAGACAAATAACTAGTAATTGTAATAGAGTTTTATAGTTACAACAGAAGAGATATGTGCCAGGGTGGGGACAGGAGTTATTTGTTTTGCACCCTTCAAAAACCAGCATTATTAATTATATTTGAATAGCTAAGAAAATAGAGGCAGAGGTACTCCTGGCCCCAAGTTGAAAAGAATGACTAGTAGTTTACCAGGGCCAAGTGTGGAAGATGCCTACAGGCACAGCAGGGGCCTTGCAAATGCCCATTTGCACAAAGGCATGTAGTAGTATGTTCAGAAAACTAAGAAATATTGCGTATTGCCAAAGCATAGGATGTGTGCTGCTGCTGCTGCTGTTGCTGCTAAGTCGCTTCAGTCGTGTCCGACTCTGTGCGACCCCAAAGACGGTAGCCCACCGGGCTCCCCCGTCCCTGGGATTCTCTAGGCAAGAACACTGGAGTGGGTTGCCATTTCCATCTGCAGGATGTGTGCTAGGTACTAGATTTTGGAGGGTTCTATCTGTATGCTGTGCTGAAGAATTTTTTTTTTTAATGTATTATGAAAATTCAGATATACAAAAGGAGAGAATAAGATAATAAACACCCATGTACTCATCACCTAGTTTCATTATTTATCAACATCTCCCTGCTCTTATCTATCTTGGGTTTCCACCACTCATTTTTAATTTTAGTATTTAAAAGCAGAGTTCATACACTTGAAGAATTTCAATTCTGCACAGTTGAGAGGTATCAAAAAACTGAAGTCTGCAGCTCATCTCTTGGGGTTATGTGGAAGACAGATTGAAAAGAAGTAGAACCAGGGGCAGGGAACAGTTAGAAGATAATTTTGTTTAAATCCAGGCAAGAAATGCTGAAATGCGTCATAGCAAGGGATATATGAAGAGAAGTCATTATAAGAGAATGGTCTGAAAAATCACCTTGGGGAGTGAAGGAATGATGGGGAAGCTTTGGACAACTTCTTAGCCAAGATGGGAAGTGTAGATGTTTGGTCAGGTTTATAGGGAACAGTGCTCATGTTAAATCTCCAAGTAGGAAAGCACATTTGACTGTAGACACAGAACTCAGAAGAGAGATTGGAAAGCTGTTCATAATGTAGGTGATGGTGGCCATGCATATAGGCAGAGCATCTAAAGGGAGGGCAGGGGCACCAACAGAATCTGAGAGGCAGGCCTGTGGCCTCAAGGGCCCTGACATCAAAAAGGAAATTGATATGAAAGTGGTCAGCCAGCAGAGTGACTGGCAAATTGTGAGGAAGTGATAAATGTGAGTTTTTTTACTTCCTTTGCTTATGTATGGTGGTGCTCTTGCTTCCCTTTAGCCTGCAACTTTTCATTATCTCTATCCTAAATTCATCAGACAAATAGAATCTACATCTTTTATGGACATTTAGTATATGCACATTCATCCTGTTTATCCCTATTAGCTTACAAGTCCTTTGAGGTCAGAAGGTATGTATTCATCTGAGTGTCTTCATTTCACCACTTAATTCAGAGCTTTGCATGTAATAGATATGTTGTATGTATTTATGAAATGAATTAAGTTTCTGGCTTCTTCCCATACTTTTGGTGTGTGTTCACATTAAGGGCCAGCTGTGAGTATATATATTTCATATCACCTCACTTTTCCAGTTTCACCCAGAAAACAAGCTTTTATCCTTTTCTTCCCTCTCAAATAGCATGCTTACAAATTTTGTTAGAATTTTTTTTAAAAACAGATTGTATTTAATGTTACAAATTATTCTGTTTCAGAGCCGCTAGAATGAATTAGAGCATTTAGAAATTCATGTGGAAAATGAAAATTACAAGTAATTGGGGGATCACATTATAAATTTGACCCTTGCTTCTGCTTTCTTCTCCAGGGTCTGCTCTCTTTTCTGAGTGCCCCACTCATAGGCGCGCTGTCTGATGTGTGGGGAAGGAAGCCCTTTCTTCTTGGCACTGTCTTCTTCACCTGCTTCCCAATTCCACTGATGAGAATCAGTCCATGGTGAGTGACTGGGCCCTCCATCATGACTGTCTGTTTGGGCTCATATATGGACAATACATCTGCAGAGCACTTTTCAACCTTTGCAGAGCAATTGTACCTGTATTTTCATTTGAACTCTTTGCTAATTCTGAAAACTAGTACGCAATTGCCATCATGCCCATTTTATAAATGAGGACATGAAATTAAGTCTAAGATAGTTACTTAGGTGAAGAAATAGAAATAAAAGATGTCTCTAAGGGCAGTTGTTTTTGTCATGAGGTAACTTACATGATTGAGTCCTGGGAGGGGGCAGACAGTCTCTGTACTCACTCAGTTGTGGCTTATTTGACTTTGCAGATGTGTTGTTTTTGTCAGCTCATGCAGCGATCCCCAAACTTTTTGGCACCAGGGACCAGTTTCACGGAAGACAATTTTTTCACAGACAAGGAGGGGTGGGTGTGTGTTTCCGGTTGTAATGTGAGCAGTGGGGAGCCATGGGGAACAGTAGGTGAAGCTTCTCTTGCTCGCCTCTCACTGGATGGCCCAGTTCCTAACAGGCCACAGTCTGCTGCCTGGGGGTGAGGACCCCTGTTCTAGGGCACTGCCATAAACATAGTTTGCATTAAAAGTCAAGAGTCCAGCTTTTCCTGATGGTCCAGTTGGAATTCTGTCTGGCAGTGCACAGGAAGTTAGTTCCATCCCTGGCCCAGGAAGATTCCACATGCCCCTGGGCAAGCAGACCTGTGTGCTACAACTATTGAAGCCTGCGTGCCCTAGAGCTGCTGCCCCGCAACAAGCCACCGCAGTGAGAAGCCCACCCACCACAGCTGGAGAGTAGTCCCCACTCACCACAACTCGTGAAAGCCTGCATCCAGTAACAAAGACCCAGTGCAGACAAAAATAAATTAATTTTTTAAAAGGGGGCAGGAGTCACTTTAGTGTGTACTGTATTATGACCAGTAGCCTATTCTAAATCATAATGTGAATTTTAATTTGATCTTATTTTTTCATGATAAGTGGGGAGAGAATAATTAGCATGTAATAACCAAGGTTATTTAGCTAATAAAAATGTGTTGAAATTTGTACCTGAGCTGTAACTTAGTTTTTCTGGAGCCCAAAGAATGATATTTTGGCCAGAATCCCTATTGCTGAGATGCTATTCCCATGTGAATAACACAGTTTAGAATGAAAGGGTCTTTTGTGCTTCAGTCATTTAGGGTTTAAATGCAATTGATAGATTTGGGGGATACTCAATGTGAATACTCTCATTTGGTTATCTGATAGGAATTTTATGTCAACATTTGTCATGTTCTAAATGTGTTGGGTACCTATAATGAATCATTTTGGTTCGTACCAGATAAATTTTTATAAAATATTTTTTGGTATTGAATTTTTCTGTTCAAGAACAAGTCATGCTTTTCTGATGCATTAGGTTTTTTGTATTTTCATAGTCCTCTCAATATCTTACAGTTGTTTTCTTTATAATCTTAAAATGATTTTATCTCTTCTCTCCAGTTTTCATGCTGCTGCTTCTGTTGCTTGTATTGACTAATGCATAAAATAAAAATCTTTTATTATTGTTCAATAAAAGTGAGATTATGGACCTATCTTCCTCATGTATATGAAGGAAATTTTATGTTTCATCCTTGAGTATCAAACTAGCTTTTGGGTTGAAAAATACTAGTTCCTATTTTGTTTAGAGATTTTCCTTTTTAAAATCAAGGGAATATCAAGTTTTGATGCCATTAGTATCAGTGGAGATGATTTGAATTTTCACCTTAAATCTATTACCATGATTAATTATATTAATAGATTTCTAATATTGAAAAATCATTACATCCTAGAATTAAAACACTACTTTTTGTTCTATGCGATTCTGTTGGCTAATATTTTAACTAGATTTTTGTTAAGTGTCTATTTTATATGGTAGAAATTTTTTTGTCTTATTAATTTTTAAAATGCTTCCTGCTTTTGTGTATATGTATTTTTCTCAGCTAAAACTCAGAAATTTAGAAAAGTTTCATTTCTGTTCTGGCTGCCATTAAAACTAACTTTACTGCACATTCCTACTTGTTCATTTTTTTTAACTGTATGTACTGACACCCCTTGAGCAATGACAATATTGGTATGTTTGTACTTCCTCTCCATCTTGATTATAAGTTTATTGGTTGTCCTTTATATGTTTAAATATACATACATTTTTACAATTTATATTTTGGTTTATAGCCTTTACTTGACATCTTTGGTTTTGATTATGAAAGTGTATATATGCTACTTCTCTTATGAATCTTAAAATAATCTCTGTAGGTGGTACTTTGCCATGATTTCCGTATCTGGAGTCTTCTCGGTCACGTTCTCTGTGATATTTGCCTATGTGGCCGACGTCACTCAGGAGCACGAGCGGAGTTCTGCCTACGGATGGGTGAGACGGCGGATTGTGTTGCTTGACCGGGGAAATAATAGACACCCCACTGAAAGCTTACCGGAAAGTGAGCTTTTATTAAAATAGTGTGAACTACGAAAAGAAAATCCAGAACAGTTGAAATGAAAAAGGAGACTTGTGAGAAACTAAAAATAGCAAGATAGAAACTGCTACTGATTGATCCTTTGGTTTTAGTGTTGGAAGATTGGCAGGATATGTGAGTTGTCACTTGCAGTTTTTTTAAATTTGGTTTGATTTGTTTCTTGTTAGCTGATCTCTTGAGGAACCATAAACAGTAAACAGTTGCTACAATCATAGATCTCTGTGCACCTAATTAGAATTGGAGAGGTGATAGAACCTCAGTTATGTTAATTCATTGTCACTGGATTGCAGGTTGTGTGACTCAGACACTTATTTGAAATGTAGCACTACGGAAAAAGGACTACATTCATTCAGGAAATAATTGTTGAGTCAATAACAAAAGTTATAGGAGAACTTTTTGGGATAATTGAATATTAGAAAGTCACTTCTAATTTTCTTAGGCAAGATACTGGCGTTGTGATTATGTAGGAGAAGAAAGACCTATAAAAGATGGCAGTCTGAAGCCATTTAGGTCAGAGTATCACAACTCTGAGAATTACTTAAGTGGTTCAAGGGGGAAAAGTGACAGGTGAGCATTTGTGGGCATGTGTTCAATGTGTGAACCTCTTGGGGTATGTGGGTATGAACAGGGAAAGTTTTCCCTTCTTCCCTTTTAGGTTCTTTGAGTTAAGGGAGTGAAAGTCGATCAGTTATGTCCAACTCTTTGTGACCCCATGGACTATACAGTCCATTGAATTCTCCAGGCCAGAATACTGGAGTGGGGAAACCTTTCCCTTCTCCAGGGGATCTTCCCAAACCCAGGGACCAAACCCAGTTCTCCCACATTGCAGGCGAATTCTTTACCAGCTGAGCCACAAGGGAAGAGTGAGCAAAATAATTAAATTGACATAAAGTTGGGGAGAACCTGGAGAAGAAAATGGCAGCCTAGTCCGGTATTATTACCTGGGCAATCCTGAGGAGCCCGGTGGGCTACAGTCCATGGGGTTGCAAGAGTGAGACACGACTTGACAACTAAAAGTACAGACAGATTAACAGGAGAAAAACAAATTTAATTTCATATGTGTGGGAGTCTGACAAAGATGTGAGAGACTCAAGGACTGTCAGTGGTTGAGGCTTATATACCATCCTGAGCTAAGGAGAAAGACTATAGGAGTCTGGGACTTAAAAGGGAAGGAAGGTAATTCATAGGAAGACGAGGAGAGAAAATCAAATGTTTGCCATTACATGTAGATAAGTCTTTCTAATATAAAAAGTTATCTTTAGTACTTACTATCTTTATCATAGTATTATCTTTCTAATATAAAAAGTTACCTTTAGTATTTAGTATCTAATGTAAAAAGTTATCTTTAGTATTTAGCAGTATTTCTTGGTATAGGCCTCCTTTCTAAGTTCTTTTAGGTTAAGTTCAGTCACTCAGTCGTGTCTGACTCTTAGACGCTATGGACTGCAGTAGGCTATTCTGGGAAAGGTAAAAAGCTTTGCCTGAGTCTCCTGGGTCATAATTGCCTTCTGCTTGAAACAATCCACATGCCAAAGTGGCACATTTTGGGGTAGCTTATTTTGCTCCCCTTTAGTGTACATTTTGTTCTTTAAACTCTCCTGTGTTTGAAATGTTTATAGTAAGAAGATGGAAGAAGAAAGATAACCTGACTGGATTGTTGAATGGTTGGAGAGGGACTGAATGCCAAAAACTCAGGTTACTTCTCTCCTGGGTCTTATTCTTTCTGTTAAATTCCACTTCCTGGAAGACAGTAAGCAGTCATTCAGTGTTGACTGAGTGAATAATTGTATGGATCAGTGATGGACACATATGCCAGTTACTGTTGTTCCACAAAACACAACAGTCATTTTTAGTTTGTTGACTTTAGACATCAGTAGTTTAAAAATTTCTCCAAGCCACTTGCCCTCTAGCTACTACTTGCTTCTCCTTCCTTCTTCCCTCCTCCCCTGAATGTTTCTCATGTCACAGGGGCATCTCCTGAGTGCTGTGGAAAAGGACAGAGGGAGAAACAGATAGGAATGCTTCAAAGAAGGCAGGATGTCCAAGGTGGGCTTTTGAGGGTTGGTCAGCGGAGTTGAGGTGTGCCAGAAGCCTCATTTATTGCACTTGTGAAGCTTTTCTCAACATTGCAGGAAACACTCATTCCTTTTCAGTTTTATTAGATTTTTGTTCTTTTACCTTCATCAGAAAAATCCCTCACAAAGCTGTTGTCCTAAGGTGTAGTATTTAAGGAAGGATTTCAGAGACAGAGAGTTATGGAACCAAAGTGATCATGACTTAGTTTCCCTATCTCTAGCTCAGTTCTTCATCTGTAAAATGCCAGTTATAATAATGCCTGTTCAGAGGTATGTTGAGAGAAGTTAGTTAGAGGAGCGCCCTGCTGAAGTATGTCCTCCAGGCCATAAGGCTGCTGCCTGGACTGGATCATAGGACTCAGGGTTTGGCCAAGGACTAACCTTTACATTTAACTCTATGTGTTAGATGTTGAGATGACAAACCTGAAAAAAGAAAAAGGAAAAAAGCTTGCAAGCTACGTTACAGATACAGAATAGAATTATGATGATAGAATTAAAAAATGTCTTTTTGACAAATAATGAGATATTTGTATGCTCTATGATCTTTACTTTACACTTGGAATGCTATGTAATTAAGGGCAGGAGCTCTGTTTTCTTATTTTTCTAGCACATATAAATACTCAATAATTATTGAACCAGGGAATTCCTATTCCTCAAATTGGAATTCTATGTACTTCCTTTTTTTCCCCAGAAACTTTTTAACTTTTGCCTTTTATAATTTTGGTATAATACTAATTTCCAATACATTGTATTTTTACAGTCACTTGGGGGTTATGGATGAAGGAAGAATATCATTGGTTACCCACGAGTCATAATTTCAGTCATAGTTAATGATTTCTGTAGTTCCTATTAAAATCCATTAGAAGTTTAGATGACCAGTTTATAAATGTGCTTTTTACACTCAGTCTGGTTGTAATTTGGAGGCTGTTCACTTAAGCTTCTGAACATTCAGACTACATTTCAAAATAGAGAGAGCCTTCTACATGCTTATAGGGAAGCAGTGTGAAGAAGTGTGGCATGGATTCAAGTTCTAAGTGTGATCAGTTGACTCAGTGGTCTTTGGTTTTTGGACGTTGGGGGTGACAGTATGACAGAAACTCCTAGCCCAGGGCTTTCTCTAATTAAAAAGCTTTTGAGGTCTCCCTCAATAAATCTTTTTGGATTTTTGTTGTTGTTGTTATATAACTTTTTCTAAGACTGCCAGGGATTTCCACCCCTAGTTAGTGCTAATGAAGTGGTGAAACAGTGCACAGTTTTGGAAGATGAAATCAAGCCTGGTTTCTGAGTAATTTGTTGATTTTTGTTATCAACCCTGCAAAAACTTTTTTTGTTCCTTTCTCTCTATGTCCCTGTTCCCTAATTACAGAAGATTAAAATATGTATGGTTTATTTGTGGGGAAGGTTTTACAATTTTTATTTCTAAATAAATCATTTTTTTATTCGTGTAGCTTTCTAGAGTAACTTCTAGAAAGCTACAAGAATTAAAAAGTTACTCAAATTAGTTAATAACTTGTGAGCAAATTCTTAAAAGAAAATTACTTTTCATTCTTAAAAGTTGTGTGCAATACAGTCCTTTTGTCTTTTTAAAGTTAGAGAAGGGTGGTTTTAGATATGCACCTATGGGGCCCTGGTTGGAAACAGGAATGTAAGTGTGCACCTGCTGGAGATGCAACCCTGGGTGAGAGTGTTCTTTCTCCATAGGTCTCAGCCACTTTTGCGGCCAGTCTGGTCAGCAGCCCAGCCATTGGAGCGTACCTTTCTGCCAGTTATGGAGACAGCCTTGTTGTGCTAGTAGCCACAGTGGTAGCTCTTCTAGACATCTGCTTCATCTTATTGGCTGTTCCGGAATCTTTGCCAGAGAAAATGAGACCTCTCTCCTGGGGAGCCCGGATTTCTTGGAAACAAGCAGACCCTTTTGCGGTAAATAAAAGCATGAAAACACTTTCCTAAATATCTTTCTAAACCATGCAAATAAATGTGCATTTCTGCAGATTCATGCATCCCAGCAGTTGCTGGTTTATTTTTTCTCTAGTAAAAATAGAAAAAATATAATTGCAAATAAGGGACAGATGTGAACTGTACACCAAAGAATATATAAAACTGATAATTCTTAAGTCGGACACAACTGAGTGACTGAACTGAAGTATGCAGTTACCATGAGAGACAACAGATGCACCTTTTGGTCTACTCAGACATCCTGTGTAGAAAAGGGTGTAAGGATTTTGGACAAAGGTATAATATTGAAAAAGTTGTCACTAGTCAGAGAATCTTGCCATTGACCCCATGCCTGGAGCACATGTATTTTTCTGCCAATTATGTGGGCAAATTTATTATTAACATTTTAAAGAATAAATTTGTGTGTAATGAAAACCCTGTAATGTTTGTGGCTTTAAAGGAGTTGTATTATGAGTGAAAAGAGATGACATTTTCTTAAAAGGTTCTGGAGCAGTGTGTTTTTTTAAATTTTTCAGAGTCTATTCATAGTATGTTCACGGTCTGTTTCAGTATGTGAACCAGTATTATTAACAAAGATGAGCAAAAATGTTTTTTATAAAGAAAAGACTGTAATATTTGAAATATGTACCTCTGAAATTAGGACTTGTAATGTCCTTAGAGAGGTGGTAATAGATTTAATGTTAAGGCTCACTTCCTTTTTTAATCCATTCATCTTTTGTTATCCACCTTAAGAAATCAAAAAACAGTGAAGCTGATATCCCAGAATATCAGTGACATCAGTATCTATTTGCTTTTTATGTTTCTGTTTCTGCTTATTTCTAGTCACTGAAGAAAGTTGGAAAAGATTCTACCATTTTATTAATCTGCATCACTGTTTTTCTTTCATACCTTCCTGAAGCTGGACAGTATTCAAGTTTTTTTCTCTATCTCAGGCAGGTGAGTAAGGAATGCCAGAAAATCAGAGATTGGGATCTTTCTTGAAGTGTTTTATGGAAAAACCCTGGGTAGCTCAGCTGGTAAGAATCCACCTGCTATGCAGGAGACCTCGGTTCAATTCCTGGGTTGGGAAGATCCCCTGAGGAGGGCATGGAAACCCACTCCAGTTTTCATGCCTAGAGAATCCCCATGGACAGAGGAGCCTGGTGGAATGGAGTCACAAAGAGTCGGACATGACTGAGCAGCTAAGCACACAGCGCTGTAAGAGGAAAAAATGTGTTAACTTACTTCTAATTGTAAATGTAGCTGCTGACATATAATTAGTAGTCACGAGACCTCTAGTGCAATAATTTTTTAAAATAAAATGTTTACTGTGGGAAAAATTTCCTTGAGAATTATAAGGATTACACAGAAAGAATTAGTAGAAACAGAATTTATTAAATCTTTAATAATACTCATTAAGTTTCAGAGAGGTAAAATTTATTTCAGAAGTACTGTGACCCCTGGGTCTGATCACATCCAGGTTGCTTAGCCATCTACAGTAGGCCGCTGTAGGGACTTTACTGGCAGTCCAGTGGTTAAGATTCCTTGCTTCCAATGCAGATGATGTAGGTTCGGTCCCTGGTTGGGGAAGTAAGATCCCACATGTTGCAAACCACCCCCTCCTCCCCCCAACACACACACTCCCCACTAAAAACAAAAAAACACCACTGTGGACTTCAAGGTAGGTCACAAATAATGACCAAAGTAATCTTTTCTGTCTTCTGATTTTTCTCCCTTTAAAAGTTTATGCTTCATACTTTCCCCCCAAAGGGAATTGACTTAAGGCAATTAAAAAACGTTTGCTTGGAGAAGGAAATGGCAACCCACTCCAGTATTCTTGCCTGGAGAATCCCATGGATGGAGGAGCCTGGTGGGCTACAGTCCACGGGGTCGCAAAGAGTCGGATATGACTGAGCGACTTCACTTTCACTTTCAACCCTCAGCTGAGACTTTCAGCTCTTGTGTTTGCTATTGATTGTTTTCTTGAGTTCTCAAAGACCTGTGACCATATTTTTTTTAAGTTGCCTGTTTTCTAATTGCATCACTTTACACACTGTTGTCTAATAATATGTGGTATTTAGAATGCCTTCTTAATTAATTTGAGCAGCCATTGCCTGTATTTTCTTAGCACCTCCTTGGTTTTCTTATGTGAACTCATCTGACAGGGAAATGCAGCTTTTTTGTTTGCCCTCTCTGCATACTGGACCATCTGAGTCAGTGTTCTAACTAATCCCTGATGGTCTCTGAGCTACTGTTCTACCAGACTCAGTAGTTATGTGCTTCAGGAATTTTTCGGTAGAATTGGTCCTATTAGGAGACTCTTGGTGTCACCTTTGTTATCTTAAAAGCTGGTCCCTTCGCTGAGGCTCTTAATTTTTTGAAAACTTGATTCTATTTCAGCTGAAAATTGGCAAGGCTATTTAAAAAATTGATGGAAGCCATTTAAGAAATTGAAAAGTAATCGCCAACAACATTGGGTAGTTGTGACTTTCAGTTCTGTATCAGTTGAATTTTTGTGCTCTTTTCCCTGTGTACGTGGTGGTTCTATTTTTCTCCAATAAAACTTTTTATTTAAAAAAAAAAAAAAGTTTGCTTTTCCAACTGCAGTTTCAGGTCTCTGGGATTGCAGAGATCTGAACTGCCTTTCATTGCAATCCTGCCTTGGTCTTCCACTGATTTCACTGGAAGTCTTTCTCCTAATGGTTTACTCCACTTTGTCAGAGCAAGCCTCCCCCTAAGACAAATTCCTCTACTTTTAGAGATATTTCAAATAAAATTTGTTAAGTTTGCCACTCATAGTTTTCCTGAGAGTATGAGACTATAATATTTTATATGGTAGCACATTTAAATAAAGCTTTTTTTTTCAAGCAGTTCTTTTTTTGTTTTACTCATTTATGGTTGGAGGATGCTGGAGATTTAGAGGGAAAAGTAGAGAGATATTCTGTTTAATGTGTGTGTGTGTGCACACGTGCTCAGTCAGTTGTGTCCAACTCTTTGTGGCCCCACGGACTGTAACCTGCCAGGCTCTGTGCTATGGAATTTTCCAGGCAAGAATACTGGAGTGGGGTTTTTCCTAACTCCAGGGAATCTTCCTGACCCAAGGATCAAACCCAGGTCTCTTGCATCTCCCACACCGGCAGGTGGATTCTTTACTATTAGCTCCCCTGGGAAGCCCAGGTGTTAAATGTAGAAAATTACATATGCATCATTAAATGTACATTTAATGTGGGAAATAATGTAGGAAAAATAGGAAAGCCCAAGAAAGAAAGTAAAGTCTACTTTCTTCACATGTATAGTTAACAATAGTGAATATTTTCTTCTCTATCAATTTTTCCTATACATATGCTTATATCACTGTCAACAACAACAGTTAAATCAGAATAATTCTGTTATTCTGTATTTATGCTCACTTTTTAAAACTCATATATAATTAACCTACACATATATTTTTTGTTTAAATTGTGTTTACTTATAAATCATCTATTTTATAAGAAACTTCTATCCAATATATATTTAAAACTTTATTCAATAATAAAAAGACATATAACTCAACTAAAAAAGTAGGCAAAAGATTTTGAATACATATTTCTTCAAGGAAAATATACAGGTGGCCAATAAGCATATGAGAGGATGGCTAACATCATTACCCATCAAGGAAATGAAACACACCTGCTAAGAAAGCTGTAATAAAACAAAACAAAACAACAACCTAGGATTTGGAGAAATGGCAACCCTCATACATGCTGGTGGGAATGTAAAATGGGGCTACTGTGGAGAAGAGCCTGGTGGTTCCTCAAAGTGGCCAACATAGGGTTCCCAGCAAATCTGTTTCTAGGTATATAGCCAAGAGAATTGAAAACGCATATCTGTACAAAAACTCTTAACACAAATTATTATTCACACAGCCAAAAAAGTAGAAGCAAAGTAGAAACAGCTTATCTGCCTATTAGCTGATTAAATGGATCAACAAACATAGTACATCTGTACAATGCAATGTACAGTTTTCTTTGACCATAAAAAGCGATGAAGCACCGACGCACGCTACAACATTGGTGAACTCTGAAAACGTTATGCCGAGTGAAAGAAGCCAGAACCGTGTACAGTGTGATTCCCTTTGTATGAGATGCTCTGAATAAATAAATACAGAGAGGCAGGAAGTGGATCACTGACTGGGTGCTGGGGTGGGTTGTGGGAATGGGACTCCTAATGGGGTGTCATGTTTCTTTGAAGAGTGGTGAGATCTTCTGAAGTTGATCATGGTAATAATCGCCCAACTCTGTATCAATACTGTACTGTGCTTAGTTGCACAGTCGTGTCCAGCTCTTTGGTACTCCATGGACTGTAGCCCACTGGTCTCCTCTGTCCGTGGGGATTCTCCAGGCAAGAATACTGGAGTGGGTTGCTGTGCTCTCCTCCAGGGGTTCTTCCCAACCCAGGGATTGAACCCAGGTCTCCCACATTGCAGACGGATTCTTTACCATATGAGCCACCAGGGAAACCCATGTCAATACTAAAACCATTGAATTGAACTGTGCACTTGTAATGGGTGGATTGTATGGTATTTTTAATTCTACCTCAGTAAAGCTGTTTTAGAAATATATTTATTGGGGGAGTGAAGGGGGATGGGCTAGGTTTTTGGGGTTAGTAGATACAAACTTTTACATATAGAATGAATGGACAACAAAATCCTACTGTATAGCACAGTGTATACAGCACACTGTATATTCAGTGTCCTGGGAAAAGAATATAAGAAGGAATGTATAGCATGTATAACTGAGTCGCTTTGCTATATAGCACAAATTAACACAACACTGTAAGTCAACTGTACTTCAATTAAAAAATACATATATGGGCTTCCCTGGTGCTCAACAGTTAAGGACTCTGCAGTACAGGAGACGTGGGTTCTATCCTGAGCTGGGAAGATCCCCTGGGGAGGAAATGGCAACCCACTCTAGCATTCTTGTCTGAGAAGTCCCATGGACAGAGGAGCCTGGTGGGCTACATACAGTCCATGGGGTCACAGAAGTCAACATGACTTAGCAACTAAACCACCACCACCATAGATTCCAATTTTTTAAATTGCATTTAATTGGAGAATAATAGAATAGTGTTAATGCCAGCAGCACTGGTTTGGGAACCAGAAGTTCTGGCTCTCTTTCATTAGCTAATTGTGTGATTTGAAGCAGGATAATCATTTATGAAGTGTGAAGATTATTTACAATAGTTTTTAAAGTTTTTTTTCTGGATTTTGTAGTTTAAATAGATGGCAAACTAACTTTAAAAACTTGATGTTTAAAAGTTAAATGTTTCAGGCATTTCATAGCTACTCTTAAGATTAAGAGGTTTAGAAATCATTGCTAACTAACTTTGGCTGCTCATTGGAATAACCATGGGAGCTTTTTAAAACATACTTGTGTCTGGGCCCAGAGAGTCTGATTTAATTGATATCAGGTGAGTTCCAGCATCTCTTTTTCTCCCCTCTCCCTTTCTCTGTTGCCCACATAATTTTAATGTGCAGTCAAAGTTGAGAGCCACTTAACTTTCCAAGTGAACATATTCTATGTTGACAGCATCAAAAATCAAATTTTTCTTTTCTTCATTTTTTTCCCTAGTAGTGGATAATGTTACATAGCTCTTGGTGGATTATAGGGGGGAAAGTATATGAAAACAGTAGGGAGACCTGTAATAGAAAATATTGTACTAGGAGCTAATCTTAGTTATATTAAGTTGTGCCTGCTTACAGTGATTTCTCATGACAGATTTAGCTATAAATTATTGGTTAAATAGGTTTAGCTTTCAGCACTGCCTAAATTTCCATTGTCAAGGATTCATGAACTTTCCTCAACTGTTTTATTCTATAGCTTTAATAGAACATAACATTTCTTATTATTTATATAATGTCTATATTGTAATATGTGTTCATTTTCACAGGTCATAGGATTTGGATCTGTTAAAATTGCAGCTTTCATAGCTATGGTAGGAATTCTGTCTATTGTGGCTCAGGTAAGTGTTATTTTACCCATCCACCCCACTTTTTTTTTTTTTTAGCATTTTTAATCTGAAATAACTATAGATTTACAGGAAGCTGCAAAGAAATGTTCATGAAGATCTCTTGCACCCCTACATCAGTTCCGCTCCTTCCCTGCCATGGTAGCATGTTACATAGCTATGAACAATATCATACCAACTGTATCCACTGATGTGGATACAGATCATAGAATTATTCTCTTTTTAATAAAATCTGGAGGTTGTGATTTAGGAGGAATTTAATATACATTTTTTAAAAATTAATTTTTTAATTGAAGGATAATTGCTTTACAGAATTTTATTGCTTTCTGTCAAACATCAACTTGAATCAGCCATAGGTATACATATGTTCCCTTCCTCTTAAACCTCACTCCCATCTCCCTCCCCATCCCACCCCTCTAGTTGATGCAGAGACCCTGTTTGATTTCCCTGAGACATACGGCAAATTCCCATTGGCTATCTATGTTACATATGGTAATGTGAGTTTCCATGTTACTCTCGCCTACATCTCACCCTCTACAGCCCTCTCCCCATGTCCATAAGTCTATTCTCTATGTCTGTTTCTTCTTTGCTGCCCTCTAAATAAATTCTTTGGTACCATCTTTCTAGATTCTGTTTATGTGTGTTAGTGTACAATATTTATCTTTCTCATTCTGACTTACCTCACTCTGTATAATAGGCTCTAGGTTCATCCATCTCATTACAACTGACTCAGATACATTCCTTTATATGGCTGAGTAATATTTCATTATGTATATGTACCATAACTTCTTTATCCATTCCTTTGTCAATGAACATCTAGGTTGTTTCCATGTTCTTCTAACTATTGTAAATAGTGCTGCAGTGAACATTGGAGTACATGGGTTTTTTTTTTTCAGTTTTGGTTTCCTCAAGGTACATGCCCAAGAGTGGGATTGCTGAATCACATGGTGGTTTTAGTCCTAGTTTTTTCTTCCTACCATCTTCCATCGTGGCTATGTCACTTTCCATTAACATCAACAGTGCAAGAGGGTTCCCTTTTCTCCACACCCTCTCCAGCATTTATCGTTAGACGATGACCATTCTGACCTGTGTGAGGTGATATCTCATTGTAGTTTTGATTTGCATTTCTCTAAAAATGAGTTACTGAGAATCTTTTAATATGTTTGTTAACATCGGTGTGTCTTCTTTGGAGAAATGTCTGTTTAGGTCTTTTCCCTACGTTTTGATTGAGTTGTTTGTTTTTCTGGTATTGAGTTGTACGAGCTGCTTGTATATTTTAGAAATTAATGTTTTGTCAATTGTTTCATTTGCTATTATTATCTCACATTCTGAAGTTTGTCTTTTCACCTTGCTTATAGTTTCCTTTCCTGTACAAAAGCTTTTAAGTTTAACCAGGTCCCACTTGTTTACTTTTGTTTTTATTTCCATTACTCTAGGAGGTGGGTCATAGAGGATCTTGCTTTGACTTATGTTCTCAAATGTTATGCCTATGTTTTCCTGTAAGAGTTTTATAGCTTCTGTTGTTACATTTAGGTCTTTAATCCATTTAGTGTTTATATTTGTGTATGGTGTTAGTTCAGTTCAGTTCAGTTGCTCAATCGTGTCCGACTCTTTGTGACCCCATGAACCGCAGCACGCCAGGCCTCCCTGCCCATCACCAACTCCTGAAGTCTACCCAAACCCATATCCATTGAGTCAGTGATGCCATCCAACCATCTCATCCTCTGTCATCCCCTTCTCCTCCTGCCATCAATCTTTCTGCATCAGGGTCCTTTCAAATGAGTCAGCTCTTCGCATCAGGTGGCCAAAGTATTGGAGTCTCAGCTTCAGCATCAGTCCTTCCAATGAACACCCAGGACTGATCTCCTTTAGGATGGACTGGTTGGATCTCCTTGTAGTCCAAGGGACTCTCAAGAGTCTTCTCCAACACCACAGTTCAAAAGCATCAATTTTTCAGCTTTCAGCTTTCTTCACTGTCCAACTCTCACATCCATACATGACTACTAGAAAAACCATAGCCTTGACTAGATGGACCTTTGTTGACAAAGTAACATCTCTGCTTTTTAGTATGCTGTCTAAGTTGGTCATAACTTTCCTTCCAAGGAGTAAGCATCTTTTAACTTAATGGCTGCAGTCACCATCTGCAGTGATTTTGGATACCAAAAAATAAAGTCAGCCACTGTTTCCACTGTTTCCCCATCTATTTGCCATGAAGTGATGGGACTGGATGCCATTAGGAAGTGTTCTAATTTCATTCTTTTGCATGTAGCTGTCCAGTTTTCCCAGCACCACTTATTGAAGAGGCTGTTTTTGCCTCATTGTATGTTCTTGCCTCCTTTGTCAAAAATAAAGTACCCACAGATGCATGGGTTTATTTCTTGGGCTTTCTATCTTCTTCCATTGGTCTGTCTTTCTGTTTTGGTGCCAATACCATATGTCTTGATGACTGTAGCTTTGTAGTATAATCTGAAGTTAGGAATGTGGATTCCTCTAGCTCCATTTTTCTTTCCTAAGAGTGCTTTAGCTATTCGGGGTCTTTTGTGTTTCCATATGAATTGTGAAATTTTCTGTTCTAGTTCTGTTAAAAATACCGTTGGTAATTTGATAGGGATCACATTGAATCTGTATATTGCATTTGGTAGTATAGTCATTTTCACAATATTGATTTGGCTTATCCAGGAACATAGAATATCTCTCCATCTGTTTATGTCATCTTTGATTTCTTTAATCCGTGTCTTATAGTTTTCTGTGTACAGTTCTTTTGTCTGCTTAGGTAGGTTTATTCCTAGATGTTTTATTCTTTTTGTTATAATGGTGAATGGGATTGATCCCTTTATTTCTTGTTCGGATTTTTCATTATTAGTATATACAAATACAAGTGATTTTATTGTATTGATTTTTTTTCCTGCAACTTTGCTAAATGCACTGTTTAGCTAGAGTAATTTTCTGGTAGTATCTTTAGGTTTTCTGTGTATACTATCATGTCATCTGCAAACAGTGAGAGCTTTACTTCTTTTCCAACCTGGATATATTTTATTCCTTTTTCTTCTCTGATTGCTGTACCTAAGGCTTAAAAAATACAAATAATAGTGGTGAGAGTGGACACCCTTTTCTTGTTCCTGATATTACGGGGAATGCTTTCAGTTTTTCACCATTGAGAATCATGTTTGCTGTGGGCTTATCATATATAGCCTTTAATATATTGAGGTAGATTCCTTCTGTGCTCATTTTTTTGAAGAGTTTTAATCATTAATGGGTGCTGAATTTTGTCAAAGACTTTCTCTGCTTCAAAGACTTTCCTTGCTACCTACTGAAATGATCATATGGCTTTTATCTTTCAATTTGTTAATATGGTGTATCATATTGATTGATTTGCATATATAGAAGAATCCTTGCATCCCTGGAATAAACCCAACTTGATCATGGTGTATGAGCTTTTTAATGTGTTCTTGAATTCTGTTTGCTAAAATTTTGTTGAGGATTTTTGCATCTATGTTCATCAGTGATATTGCCCTGTAGATTTCTTTTTTGTGTATTGTCTTTGTCTGGTTTTGGTATCAGGGTGATGGTGGCCTCGAAGAGTGAGTTTGGAAGTGTTCCCCCTGGAATTTTTTGAAAGAGTTTTGGGAGGATAGGCATTAGCTCTTTTCTAACATTTGCTGGAGTTCACCTATGAGGCCGTCTGGTCTTGGGCTTTTGGTTTTTGGGAGATTTTTTATCACAGTTTCGATTTCAGTGCTTGTAATTGGGTTGTTCATAATTTCTTTCTTTCTGGTTCATTCTTGGAAGATTGAACTTTTCTAAGAATCTGTCCATTTCCTCCAGGTTATCCACTTATTGCCATTTGTTTGTTCATAATAGTGTCTTACAGTCCTTTGTATTTCTGCATTGTCTGTTGTAACCTCCTTTTTCATTTTGAATTTTGTTGATTTGATTCTTCTCTGTTTTGTTCTTGATGAGTCTGGCTAAAGGTTTGTCAACTTTGTTTATCCTCTCAAAGAACCAGCTTTCAGTTTTATTAATCATTACTATTGTTTCTTTCATTTCTTTTTCATTTACTTCTGCTCTGATCTTTATTAATTTCTTTCCTTCTGCTACTTTTGGGGGATTCTCTTTTTGTTCTTGCTCCAGTTGTTTTAGGTGTAACGTTAGGTTGTCTATATGATGTTTTTGTTTCTTGAGGTAGGATTGTATTGCTATAAACTTTGCTTTTAGAACTACTTTTGCTACATCCTATAGGTTTTGAGTTGTCATGTTTTCATTGTCATTTGTTTCTATGAATGTTTTGATTTCCCTTTTGATTTCTTTAGTAACATGTTGCTTGTTTAGAAATGTTTAATCTCCGTGTGTTTGTGTTTTTAAAGTATTTTTCTTGTAATTGAAGTCCAGTCTCATAGCACTGTGGTCAGAGAAGACACTGATATGATTTCAGTTTTCTTGAATTTACTGAGGTTTGATATGTGACCCAAGATGTGGTCTATCCTGGAGAATGTTCCATGTGCACTTGAGAAGAAGGTGTATTCTTCTGCATTTGGATGGAATGTCCTGAAGATATCAATGAGGTCCATCTCGTTTAATGTATCATTTCAGACTTGTGTTTCCTTATTAATTTTCTGTTTTGTTGATCTGTCCATTTTGTAAGTTGAGTGTTAAAGTCTCCCACTTTACTGTGTTACTGTCAATTTCTCCTTTTATGTCTGTTTGTGTTTGTCTTACGTATTGAGGTATTCCTATGTTGGGTGCATAGATATTAAAAATTGTTATGTCTTCCTCTTGGATTGATCCCTTGATGTATCTGTAGTGTCCTTTCTTATCTCTTATAATATTCTTTAAGGACTGCTTTGTCTTATATAAGGATTTCTACTCCAGCTTTGTTTTGTTTTACATTTGCGTGAAATATATTTTCCATCCTCTCACTTTCAGTCTATATGTGTCTTCAGGTCTGAAGTGGGTTTCTTGTAGGCAGCATATATTTGGGTCTTGTTTTTATATCC